GTGTACCCTTCGTGCTCGCTCGGCTCAAAGTCATTGCTCGATTAGTCGTTACTCGTTTAGTGGAAGAATCAGTTGCATTTGAGGAAAGCTCTTGCAAAAGTGATATTATTATAAATTAAATTGTTAAGAATCGGGGTATAATATAATTTTCAAGGAAAGTTATTGCGTTAAATTACTTAATTAATTGTTGGAAGAACTACCATAACAGGATATAACAGAAAGTGTACAAAATCGAAGTAAATTGGATATTTTCACACGTGTCAGGCAGTGCACAATAAATTTTAATGTTCGGAAAGTTTATTGTTAATCGAAATTCGTTCTGCTTCCTTCTAAAATCAATGTTAATTAATTTTCTATTTAACTCGAATCTAAATTTACTTAACATTCGGTAAAATTATTATTAATAATTATCTGTCAAAATCGTATCTCTAATTTCAACGCGAATTTCCAAATGATTTCCGATAATTTCTAAATCTTTTCCAAATGGAAATTAATATTTTCGATTAAAATCTTAAATGCGTGTGCTATGGAAACTTGGACACTTCTTGATGATGCTACTCTCTCTACGCTGCTACTCTCTCTACGCTGCTACTCTCTCTACGCTGCTACTCTCTCTACGCTGCTACTCTCTCTACGCTGCTACTCTCTCTACGCTGCTACTCTCTCTACGCTGCTACTCTCTCTACGCTGCTACTCTCTCTACGCTGCTACTCTCTCTACGCTGCTACTCTCTCTACGCTGCTACTCTCTCTACGCTGCTACTCTCTCTACGCTGCTACTCTCTCTACGCTGCTACTCTCTCTACGCTGCTACTCTCTCTACGCTGCTACTCTCTCTACGCTGCTACTCTCTCTACGCTGCTACTCTCTCTACGCTGCTACTCTCTCTACGCTGCTACTCTCTCTACGCTGCTACTCTCTCTACGCTGCTACTCTCTCTACGCTGCTACTCTCTCTACGCTGCTACTCTCTCTACGCTGCTACTCTCTCTACGCTGCTACTCTCTCTACGCTGCTACTCTCTCTACGCTGCTACTCTCTCTACGCTGCTACTCTCTCTACGCTGCTACTCTCTCTACGCTGCTACTCTCTCTACGCTGCTACTCTCTCTACG